ACGATCTATATTGTTAAAAGCGCTATTAAAATGAAGGTGAAGACTTGCAATTAGTTATCATGTGTCAGAATGCAAATACACTGCAAGTTAAAGTTAAATTAATTGACATTTATAGCATTGATGGAAACCCCGGTTAAGAAGAAAGCATGCATGAACTTAATAAAATGTAGTAAGTAGCTTTGGATAAAAATGTATGCGTAAATGTGAATGTAAAATGCGTCTGCATTTGCATAAAATACTCAAAGTTTGGCAAGGCAAGGCAAGTTTATTTATATAGCACATTTCATACACTAATTCAAAGAGCTTTACACAGAAAGAAATTAAAATAATCACAAAATAAAAGCAAGGAAAATTAACAGTTAGGTAAAGTTAAACTTTCTACATATTTATTGCATTAAAGGAAACCCAGGTTAGGAAGAATGCAAGGAATGCATTTTGATAAAAGTGTCTGCCTAATGCACACATGTAAATACAACATTCAGTTTGCCTCTGCATTTGCATCAAATTTAAGTTAGTTAAAGTTAAAATATTGACATATGTATAGCATTAAAGTTAGGGATGCACCGATATGAAAATTTTTGCCGATACCGATAATTCTTTATATTTGAAAGCCGATAACCGATATATTGGCTGATAAATCTGAATCCAAATTTTTATATAATTTTTGAGAGCCTGATTACAAAAACAAAAGTCCCAAGCACACAATTATAATATTCTCATAATAATTTTATGAAGCCGATATGACAGATTTGCACTGAACTCTATAATTATCATAAGTGATTCCGATCATATTTCAAGTAATTCAAAACCATCATGTTGAAGCGCATCTGAAGTTTCTCAGCGGAAGGAAATAATACATTATTTATCGGCTTTAATATATTTTCGGCAAAATTTTCTTATCGGGCCGATAACGATAACATTAAAAATGAGCATATATCGGCCGATACCGATATGGTGACCGATATATCGTGCATCCATAATTAAAGAAAATCATAATTAAAATCACCATAAAATCCAAAACGACTCTTCTTGTTTTTTATGGAATATTGCAATATTTATTATAAATGATTTATCCACGCGCATCATCATTTTTGTTATTTCATGTGCCCTCATCATCTTTCACTCGGATATACGTCACAATTGGAAAGAAAAGCCTAACGCAACTTCTGTTTCATGTCAACTTTAAGAAGAATACAAGGAATGCATGCATGCCTGCCAAATGCAAAAAGTGTATAAATATAATTGCAATATACAGTTTGCATTTGCATACTTGCAAAAAGTATGGTTTTTTTCAGGACTCTAGGTTAGCACATGATGGTAATATTAGTTCACCTCAAACCGTCACATTCCACCATCTTGATTTTCCTTCATGCAACACGTTTAGTTCTCCAACAAACACACACTCCTCCCCAATGGCCTTCGGAAGAACACAATCTCATCTCTTCTCTCTGTCGTTTCTCCCCGTCTCTCCCTCTATCTGCTCTCGTCTTTGTCACCAAACACCTCGTTCATACTCGCTCTGACAGTGCTCTGGCCCCGAACGAATTACACAGGCGCTTCTGAGCTCAACGTTCAGATAATTCGTACATACCTCACACACACACACACGTATAGACATCACTTCTAGCAAAAAAAAGAGAGATTGATATGAAAAGAAAAGAAATCCTTTGGTGATGATGAATAAAAACAGTTTTTTATTAGTGGTGTAAATTTTCAAGAATCACTACTAGTGCTCATAGTGATGTGTTAAAGTTGTGTGTGTGTGTGTGTGTGTGTGTGTGTGTGTGTGTGTGTGTGTGTGTGTGTGTGTGTGTGTGTGTGTGTGTGTGTGTGTGTGTGTGTGTGTGTGTGTGTGTCATTCTGCAGCATTTGTGCTCCGTACATGAATGATTCCTCAAATCATGTGTCTCGTTGAAGAGATGTGTGTTGTTACTACCAGGTTGCAACCACCTAGCAACCACCCAGAACACCCTGGCAACAGTATAAAAACAATTATATTATACAATAAATAGAACAATTTAACAACTGCATTGCAATGCCTCAACTCTCACAACACCCTAGAAACTGTATAGCAACACATTACAAAATGACTCTGAACATCTTAGCAAATGCATAGCAACACCCTGGCAACCACCAGATACTAATACTATAGTAACCACATAGCAGCAAACTAAAAGCCATTCGAAATATATTGGCAAATACATAGTAATGCCTTGATTCCGACCATCTTAGCAACTGCATAGCAACACATTAAAAATGACTTTGAACATCTTGGCAACTGCATAGCAACACCATGGCAACCATCCAAATACTATAGCAACCACATAGCAGCAAACTAAAAGCCATTCAAAACATATTGGCAAATGCATATTAATGCCTTGATTCTGAACATCTTAGCAACTGCATAGCAACACCCTGGCAACCACCCGAATGCTATGGCAATCACATAGCAGCAAACTAAAAGCCATTCAAAACATATTGGCAAATGCATATTAATGCCTTGATTCAGAACATCTAAGCAACTGCATAGCAACACCCTGGCAACCGCCCGAATGCTATGGCAATCACATAGCAGCACACTAAAATCACTTCAGAACACATTGGCAAATTGCATAACAACACCTTGACTCCCACAACACCCTAAAAACTGAATAGCAAGCAACACATTAAAAATGACTTTGAACATCTTGGCAAATGCATAGCAACACCATGGGAACCATCCAAATACTACAGCAACCACATAGCAGCAAACTAAAAGCCATTCAAAACCCAAGAAACTGCATAGCAACACCCTGGCAACCACCTGAATACTGTGGCAACAGCATAGCAGCACACTAAAAGCCATTCAGAACACATTGGCAAATACATGCCTTGACAAACCACTGAACCAATTCAGTTTTCTTTAACAATAATCCTCTTTGGTAAATTGATTTGAATTGCATTGTTTCTACGATGATGCAAATTCTCAAGAGTGCATGCCTTCTGCTTTATTGATGTCATTCATCAGCAGTTTCAGTTAGCATCATATAACAGATCCAGATACGTCATTCCCCGTTAAAGCATCTCAAAGCTTTTTTATATAGGGCTTTTATTGTGGAGGAGCAGAGGATTTCACCCGTTTATCAGTAGGATCACAGGGCCATGAGGATGGAGACGGAGCCGGCGAGGAAGCAGAGAGAGATATGGAGGAGATCTGATGATTCTCCAAGTATTCCAGAACCTGCTTAACTTAAGCTGTATCACAGCAGGCTTCGGTTTGGACTCACTATCTGAAATATCCTGTGTGTGTGTGTGTGTGTGTGTGTGTGTGTGTGTGTGTGTGTGTGTGTGTGTGTGTGTGTGAGAGAGAGAGAGAGAGAGAAAGAGAGAGAGAGAGAGAGAGAGAGAGAGAGAGAGAGAGAGAGAGAGAGAGACACCATTATCTACAATGCAAAAATCAAATTCAGTGTCTTTGCCTCATTTTCCACTCAAAATATCCTTCAAATAAATTACGCTTCCGTAATTTTTTTTTTTTTTTTTTTTTTTTTTTTTTTTTGTACTTCGATGTTTTTATTAAAACAAGTCAATTTAGAATAAGATTTTGAGGTGTACCAAGGTGTCCTCGTATGAAAGTGCCGTGGATATTGACGAGGAAGGCACATAATTGTAAAACTCAGGAAATGGACACTCTGAAAAGTCTCAAGTTTGTTTATAACTTGCAGCGAAATGACAGTTAAAAATGTGTCATTGAAAAAACAACAAAACAACAGCGGCGAGACTTCCGAGTGACGTCAGTGACGCGCGAGACATCAATCATATCCGTCACTCATCCTGAACTGATAAATATTAGAAAAAAAATAAATGCAATATTAATACAGAGAATATTTTAAATACTACTTGCAAATTATTGTAATATAAAAGGCATACTAAAAAAAACGTTTAAAAGTAGAGCCTGTTTTAACAAGACATTATTAAAACAAATTATTCGTATTCAGTGATGTCATCGATCTATAGTTTAATGCAAACAAACGTTCTAGGCTATTAATATGTGTTTACATGGGCTAAATAATATTCTAATTAAATAATTTAGATTCAGCCTATATAAACAGCCTATTAATTCGAAAATATCTATAATATGTCATAGATACTTTCTAAAGATCTAGAATAAAATGTTCCTTTGTGGAACTTTTTATACGACTATATTTGGTTGTAAATAGAATTTTTTTTTTTTTTGTGAAATCTCAGAATAAATTCTAATGCATATGCGCACAGATAAGGCCTATATATTATGCACAGTTATTATAAATAATTGACACACAAATGTTATTTTTATTCATCAATCATCATAATGCTTTCAGATTCGAATCGTAGTGTGTTGTCAATGTCACATAAGCCCGATCTCATGAAAGTGCGTATCTGTATCACGAATTTTATTTTCTCATGCCATTTATACGCTAAAAATAGTTTTTGCGTGCATATGATACGCACTTTATGGCGTGTAATATGCTTATACCCAAGGGGTTTGCAGTGCATATCATATGCACGCAAAAACTATTTTTAGAGTAGCCTATAAATGGCACGAGAAATAAAATTCGTGCTATAGATACGCACTTTCATGAGATGGTGTTGACATTATCGAAATATTTTTTTTTATTTTTAATTATTGCTAGAACATAGTCAATGCCAGGGGTAAATAGGCTACAACTGAGAGTACAATTACAGGTTACGAAATCAGGAAAATATCATACAAATGACACAGTGAGACAGTATTAAGGGCTTTAGAGCTGGATGTAGGCTAAGGAGAGTGTCCAGGTGCGATTTAAGTTCCTTACAAAAAAATAATTTAAAAAGTAGGGCTTAGAACCCTGGAATTTACATTTGTGAATTTTATCGGAATATGACCGATTATTTTGTGGCGCGGCTGAGGAGGTGAGTGAACTGAGGGATCGCATGCTTTCCTGGAGGCGGAGAGACTGGGAGGAGTGTTGGGAGAGACTTCACTGAGACTGGGAGGAGTGCTGTGAAAAACTTCACAGAGACTTTTCACCCTTATCATCCTCTCCTGTCTTCTGTGAAGAGAAGTTAACCGGAAAATGCTCTCGGCCGGCGCGGGGTAAACGGCCGATGCTCCGGTACTCACGAGTGGAATAATCGGTGAGGACGATCACCTGTGTGGACATGTATCAAGGTGTAACGATGACCACAAACCATGGACACGCGTCTTACGAGCCCGGTTTCCTCCATAACGCGGCCGCTTCCCCGGTGTACGTGACACCCACCCGGGTAACCCCGATAATCCCGGCGCTCCCATACCTCCAGACCCCCCAGCAGAGCAACCCCGGGTCCGGACACTCGGGATGGGCGCAACCGGGTGCGGACACCTCTTATAATCATTCCACACATCATTCTCCGGTGTCCAGGTTCACTTTCTCAGCGAGCCCTCCGTTAACCTCGCAAGCCCGGGAGACTGCGACGTACACGAGCCCGCTGAACATCAGCACGAGCGCCCGGGAGCATTACGGTTCCCGCGGGCTGAGTGGCTCGTATCACACCGGGTACCCGGCCTACGTGAGCCCGAACATCGGAGGCTCGTGGGCGGCCTCGCACTTCGACGGTTCCGTGATGCACACCGGAGGACCCGCGCGACACCCGAATATAGGTGAGAATCATAAATCTTTAAAAAAAAAAAAGCTATTCATTGAAAAAAGCAACCTTTATTATTATTATTTTAAAACAATCTAAAGCAATTAAGCGTAATCTGTTATCTTTTTTTTTATTGGCATTTTTGCCAGTAAGATTCCTATTTAAAAAAAAATAATCAGATCATTTATAATTTGACCTGTTTTGACAAGATTAGTTTACTTTAGGCTGTTACATATTTAAACCTGAACGAAAATGTCAACATACGAAAGGAACATAAACACAAAGATGACATTTAAAAAGTTTTGTGTATTTGATTTTTCTTTTACATATATATTTCTTGTACTCTTTCTTAAACTGTTAATGACACAGAAACTAGTTTGAGAGAATATAGACAAGAATATAAAATATAGATTTTGCTGTATGTTGTTTTGTTATTTTTTTGTATAAATGATTTGTTATAATGATTTGATGATTATAATGAGCTGTTTTGTGTGACAATTTTTTATATTTTTTTTACAGAACTGTTGTTTTTTAAAAACACCGAAACTAAGATTAAGTTTTTGGTGGGGAAAGAAAAAAATCAACAAACAATTTTAGTAAAGATCATTTGCACATTAAAATGTTGTAGCTTTACATAAAAATAGAGATTTTCGATTTTTAATATTCTCCTTTAAAAAAAAAATCAGGTTACACTTCATTTTACAGTGTAGCTTTACATATGTTCATGTACTTACCATAGTAATAACAGTAAATTATGCATAATTACATGCAACTAACCCTCAACCAATCATAATCATACCCTAACCCTATAGTATACATGTAGTTGCTTAATATTACTAAGTAAATATATAATTACGAAAAATGACACCTTAAAAAATAAAATGTAGCCCTTTATTTTAAGCTGTCCTTGTTACATTTAAGTCTGAGTAATATTAATGAACATGTTGGATATTGCATGTAATTATGCATAACTTACTGTCATGTACGTAAAATAATGTGTTACCAATTTTTAAGTTTCTACACCAGTCACGAGAACATTTGACAGTGTTTTACAAATGTATCGTTTGATATGAAATGCTTCAGTTTGTGCTTTCATGGGGTTTAAGCGAAGCTTTTGGGAAAAGTGTGCTGTCATTTAATCATGTTAGCAGATAATTTACATTTATTTACATTTACAAGTGATCGACATATACAGTTAGTCATAATAAATAGCCTATGTATTGCATAAAATGCGGAGGATATTAAAATTGATATTAAAAATATTAATATTAAAAAAACTACGTGCATAGAATAATACAATTTATACAAAGTCTAAATGTGTAGCTGTCACTTTAAGCATTTTCTGACTTCTGTTGTTTCTAATGTTTCTAATTTACATAGCCTATTAAATTACACGTTTGACTCGGACAAAATAGTTGATGAGAAGATGTTTTAATGAATGCATTTATGGATTGGATGATTTTAATCAGGTGTAAATTAGCAGGCCTGCATGTGAACAAACTGTTTTGCATATTTGAAAAACTTTCTGTATCGTCTTAACTTTATTAATCAGGGTTTGTTTAGCTTTTCATACACTTTATAATGGAGTTCGTCACCGAACGTTTATCAAAAAGACACGAGATGTTTTAATTATTAATAAGAATTTGCACGTGCAACTTACGTTTTATAGGCTATATAAATTAATATTTATAATACATGACAAATGTTTAATTATTACCCGTTTTAATTCGCGCAAAGTGTCACTTGTGTTGATATATATTTACTGCTTATATAATTTTGCTTGTTTGTCTTTAGACACAATTCAAATTCGATAAATATAAGTATATTTTCAAATATGAACAACTAAATATTATTTTCTAGGTCATACGAGACACGATATACTAAGAAAATGAAAATAAAATAAAAGTTTTGTATTTCGCCTCACAAGATCCTTCATATTTTACTTATGATACACATGAATAAAGGCATTCTGAAACTAATAATTATTTTTAATACGTGAAATAGTTCCAACTTTTAAATATTGTTTTAAGAGTCAGAAAAAAATAAGGCAAATATTCATATATTATCAGTTTGTTTATTTCATGACTGTATAATTATTGTTGCATATTGCGTGTATTTTATAATAACCATGTCATTTGAAATATTTTATTAGTAGCCTACGTTTAATTAAGATAATTATGTTAAATCTGTAAGCGAACACTTTTATTCATTCTGATAAATAAAGTATGCACGCCTGCAAAAAAAAAATATATATATATATATATTGCAGGAATAATAAACTTAATACATAAAAAAAATGAAAAATCATTCTAAAAGAAAAATAATAATAGGTAGGCCTAGTAGATAAAGTTTTTTTTTCTATAATAGATTTAAAGGATGATTCGGGGTTAGAGTTGAGAATATTCTCGATAACAAAAACGATGGTTTATTATCGAAATTTAATTAATTAAAATGGACTAAAATATGTTAAAATTAGCAGTTATTGAATAGATCATGTTGTAAATAATTTTAAACGTAAAGATAATGCATTGATAAGTCTGTGCCGCATGCAATTTCATTTATGTTAATTACAAACTAATTTGCATGATCTGCTTTCATTCAATGTATTGTTATATTATGCTGTTGAGAGTGCGACATAATCACAAATCTGTGTGCAAGAGAAATTATGTTTGCTTGAGAAATAAAATAAAGCATATTTTTCATAAAACATGTGACCTTTGGCACGAACACGTGCTATTAATAGTCTGTTGTAAATTAACCCAGAGATGGACTTTAATATGCCGGAGAAAGAAAATATGAGATATTTCAAAATATCACATCTCTTTTTTCCATATGTCCCTTTAGGGACTCCGTACTTTAACATACGATTGAAAGAAGCTTCAGATCATTCGTTTTTTGTAATAATTGACCTACTTTTGGAGGTTTTGCATGTTATAATTAGTTTTAATTTTTTTATTTATTAATTTTGGTGTTAAAACTGGACTCTAAAATTTTAAAACTAAAGCTTCCAAAACGGGGTTTTTGAAACAGTGTAAAGAACATTTTGGAATCTTCCTGGTTCCATTGATGACGTTCGATAGAATCGATGCCGATAACGAACCCTGATGTAAGAGTGTGTGTGTGTGTGTGTGTGTGTGGGCCGGTTTCTCCGCATAACGCGCTAAGATGATGTGTTGTCAGTGTGTGATCTGAAGTTATTGTCATAAACAGTGTGTTATGCGCCGATTGAGTGGATGATTTGTGCGACAGGCTTTTGTTCGCAGTTCGTGTGTGTTTAAATCTCAAGGTTACAGCCTTGAATAAAGGCCAGTGTGTGTGTGTGTGTGTGTGTGCAACACGAAACTCTTGTAATACCTCAGTAATGCATATAGACATGATCAGATGTTTGACTCTGACAGTAAGTTCTGCTCGGAACTTACAGATGTTTGAAAGGTTTACTGAGAGAGATGAAGGATTTCTCTCTCTCTCTCTCTCTCTCTCTCTCTCTCTCTCTCTCTCTCTCTCTCTCTCTCTCTCTCTCTCTCTCTCTCTCTCTCTCTGTGTGTGTGTGTGTGTGTGTGCGTGTTAAAGATGTGTGTGTCATTTGTCCACATTGATCCATCGCTCAGTTGCAGTGAAGGGCCCTCAGGGGCCTCCTGTCTGAGATATGAGTCCTGTTTCCATTTATACAGATTAGCTCAGTCTGAGGTGTTTGTGTGTGTGTGTGTGTGTGTGTGTGTGTGAGAGAGAGAGAGATGGTGTGTGTGTGTGTGTGTGAGAGAGAGAGATAGAGAGAGAGAGAGGGAGAGAGGGAGAGAGAGAGAGATAGAGAGAGAGAGAGAGAGAGAGAGAGAGATTGTGTGTGTGTGTGTGTGTGTGTGTGTGAGAAAGATAGAGAGAGAGAGAGTGTGTGTGTGTGTGTCTCATATGAGCAATAGCGCCTCCTGCTGATCAGATTCATACTCATTTTAATTTGCAATATTTTTTATTGCAGTTTATTTTTTATTTTGCATTTTATTATCACATTTATTATTTTTTATCTATTTTTATTTTGCAGTTTTATCAGTGTTTGCAGTAATTGATTTTTTTTATTGATTTTTTTATTGGTGTCTATTTTTATTTTGCAGTTTTGCAGTATTTTTATTATTGCTGTCTTTTCAGTGTTCGCTGCAAGTTTGTTTTTTACTCAGAATTATTCTTTGATTATTGCCATGATTAATTGTATTTTCCACTTTTTTATTTTTGCGCTGTTTATTTTTATTAGTTCTTTTCAGTGTTTGCTGCACATTTTTTATTTTGCATTCATGTTTATTACTGCTGTTTATATTTATTTTTTATTTTTCATTTTTTATTTTATTATTGTAGTGTTTATTTATTTTTGCACAATTTTCTTTTCTTT